ATCATGTACTATGCCCACCCTTCTGTTCTAACTGACTTTGTTTTGCTTAGTCACATTTGGTTTTATTCTCTTCAAAAAAATAATAAGAACTGTGAGAATAATAAAACCCAAAAAGTCTAATTGTTATTGTAAAAAAGAGAGGAAAGGAAGGTGAACTAAAGGATATAACTGCAGGTATGTTTGAGTGTGTAGGATGGAAAACCATATTACTGAGCTTTTGTTGGATCATTGAACGGAACTATCTCCAATATCACTGTATGAATGTCCACTTTATATGCTTTAATTTTGTAATTTGGACAACTGTTTCTGGGAAGATAATATGTAACCTATTAACTGATGATTTCTTACTGTATATATTTTTTTCTTGAAATTCTGTATTACTTGTACCCTTTTTCTGCTTTGTTTTTTATGTTCTTTCTTTTTTCTCTTTAAATAAAAAAAAGAAAATCCACTTATGACAAGTTTACTGCCAATATTGTGTTAAGTGGGGAAAAATCTGAAAGCTCTCTTTGTGAAATCAGAAACAAAACAAGGATGATCACTATCAACACTCTTGTTTAATGTAATACTCAAAATACTAGCAAGAACAATTAGATAAGAAAAAGAAGTAAAATTTTACAATGTGAATAGGAAAGAAGTCAAATTATTATTATTTGCAAATGGCATGGCCCTTTACATAGAAGATTCCCCCAAACTACCAAGACTTTTAGCATTAATAACCAAATTTGTTGATGCAGAAGGATACAAAATCAACACACAAAAATCAGAATCATTCCTGTACACTGATAATAATCCCACTGCAAAAAAATTTAGGAATAAATACCAGTTACAATACCAAGACAAATCAAATACTTAGGAGTTAACCAAACTAAAGAAGTGAAAGACTTCTACAATGAAAACTATAGTATTGTGAAAAAGGAAATAAAATAGGACATCAGAAATTGGAAAGATTTTCCTTTCTACATAAGCAGAGTCAATATAGTCTAAACGGCCATACTTCTAAAATTTATATACAAATTTATGGCAATAATAATAAAAATTCCAACAGCATTCTTTACAGAACTGGAAAACAATCCTAGAATTTATAAGGAACCAGAAGAGACCCATAATGGCAAAAGAAATTGTAGATAATAACCATAAAATGGGCGGCATCACAATGCTGGACTTGAAGTTATACTTCAAAGATACTTTGATAAAAATAGAATAATCTAGCACAGAAACAAACATGAAGATGATTGAAACAGGATATTGGATACAGACACAACCTCCATTACATTAAACTATTTGATGACAAAGGGGCTGAAAACATACACTGGAAGGATAATCTCCTTAATACATTGTGCTGGGAAAACTGGCTATCCAGCAGATTCTGTCTAAACCTGTATGTGTTACAGTGTACTAAACTAAAGTCAAAATGGATCAAAAGTATGTTAAAACAGAAACACTTGCTGGAAGACAACATAGGTAAGGCTATTGATGTCATAGACATAGGCAAGGATTTTCTAAACATAATCCCAGTTGCCCATGAAATGGGATGTAGTGTCACAAAATGAGACTATATCAAATTAAAAAGATTCTGGGCAGCAAAGAATCAACCAACAGAGTGAAAAATCACCTACAGAATGGGAACTAAATCAGAGACATCCTCTTAAATATTGCATTTATTTTGTATGAGAAGCCAAAGTACAAATATATTAAGGAGCAAAATAAAAGATGGTAGGAAATAAGGATGTAGGTCTTTGCTTAAGGGAGGGTGAAGAAGCGCTGATAGGAGGTGGGAAGAGAAGTGATGAGGAGATGAAAACAGAATTAAGATGTGTTATGTACATGGACCAACTCCCTATAATGAATACGGCCATTGCGTATTGTGAATGCACTATAAAAATAAAAATTAAAAAATGATATAAAAGAATTCAGAAACAATGAGTAGAGGAAGGAAAAACAACCCCAAAGAAAAACAGATGATTCCAAAAATCCTTCTGTGAGTTTGGGTGAGTGATTACTTTCAAGACCCTGAAGTATTAATATCCACCAGATATAAAGGAAGGATATTGAGTTATAGCTAGGGCCTGTTTTGTTTCCAAGTCCACTTTCTTTTTGTGTATGTGAATACTGAGGTATGCCCTGCCGTAAAGGGTAAACCTAGGTGGGGGTCAGTCAGTGGTATGGTACCTGCATTAGGGCCCAACTCACTCCGGTGTCTTTTAGTGTTTCTACTCCTCTGTGCATCCTGAGTCACTGTATCTCCACCTACCTTTATGGCCCATAGGGTTGTGAGGTGCCTCATTTCTTCCACCAGCCCCTCTTTCTGTACACCAGATTATGTGGCAACCACATAAAGGAAGCATATCCCTGACCACATTGGCAAATGGGGAAAATAAACAGACTTGGTGCTTTGTGATTGAAATGGGGTAGGGCAAGTGGGGAGAAAACAGTTCTTTTGACTTTATGTTACCTCTTTTAGTCTCAGTTCCCTCAGAAAACCACAAGAAATTCACTTGACTTCACATCCCAGAAATTGAGGTAACTGTGTCCTTCCTAACACAAGCTTACCATTGCTTATGTTTTTCAGTGGTCTATAACTAGCCCATGCCTCTCCAAATATTCTCTTGTGGCTGTCTCCCAATGAGTCACTGCAGTAGGGTGATCCCAGAAATTGTGATGTTTTTTCTGATTCCCAGAATAGCTTAGTATTTAACAATTAATCTTTTTCCAAGATGGCTCTTGATTATATCACTCCCAAATATTATGGGCTCTGCAATGAATTTCTTCTTCAACATTAGCTTGTGTGCTGAAGGAATCACTTTCATAGTAACACCCTACACTGTACTTGCAGTTTACAATATCTGTGGACTTTCTTGGGGATCTCACTGCCAGTCCACTGTTTCTTCCTTGAGTTGCCTGTCCTCTTCTGGTTACTTTGCATTTGCAGAGACAGTCACCCTTCTCTGGGAGCTGGGGTTTGTGTTCCAAATTGCTTTTTTTTTTCCTTTATGTTGTCTTCAGTTTCTCTGTGATTTTTAGTTTTCCTGTTCTTTCTTGATTCCCAAAGCTTTTCTTATCTTTCTGGGTGCTAAGTTGTTGTTTTCCAGGTGTCTTGATTTGAGGTCATGGAGAGACCATGCTATGGTGTCAGCCTTTAGCTTCAAGAAGGTTTTATTAAAGCCAGATTTCCAAAAGTGATTTGTTTCCTTTGTTTAATTTTTCACATTGCATAATTACCATTGAGATGAGTATATAAGATTTGATACAGTATTAAAACTTTTTGCAGTTCCAAAATATGAGATATTAAACAAGGATCAAATGTTCTTCACTTTTCATTATTTTGATTTTTATTTGTTCAATTATTTAATTTTTGCATTGACAAATATTAAATCTGATAATAAACAGAAAGCACATAAGGAAAATGTACACTAAAAGCTTTTAAAAATACCTTTTATTAAATCACCTAGAAATAATAGAACAGCAAATGTATTATCAAGTAAAAACTTTAAAATTTCTAGAATTTTAGTTGAAACACTAGAATTTTTCCCTAATATACTTTCTATAAAATTTAGTAATATTTTTCTTTAAATATTATTTGTTTAATCTATTTAATCAAGTACTTAGTTAATAATTTTGATAGATCATTTCAGATATTCTCTTAGTTCCACAAAATGAACAAAAACATTAAATTATCTTCAAAAGTTTTAAATTTCATGTTATAGTAAAAAAAATTTACAAATTTGTTATGATTGTTTTACTGCCTTGATTTATAAGTTTTTCTGACTTTGTTAGATCAATGGTTCCCAACTCTTTGGTCTGAGAATTCATTTATATTCTTAATAATTACTGAAAATTAGCTTTTGTGTTTGTTTATATTTTCTGATGTTTAACATATTCACAATTAAAACTGAGAAAATTAAAAAACTCAAATACACAAGCATACATTGTATAATGTCATTAGTACCATGCAGTCTCTGGAAATCACATATACTTATGATAGAATAATACTTACAAATGTCAAATGACATCTGAGTATTATTATGAAAGTAAGTTTGACCTTGAAAACCACCTGTGATGATCTCAGGATCCTAGGAATTAGTAGGCCATGCCTACTAATGAGAACATTACACCAGGTATGTTTTCCAATACGTGAAAACCTGAATCTAGATTACAATAATCTGCCCAGAGCAATGCCCTTCTTTTTCAAAGTTCTTTGTAGATGTTTCACGTGTTAAAAATCTTGATTATTTTATTTTCAGCATAGTGTTATAAGTGTACATTAAGTGTTATGAGAATGATGGTGTTGTGATGGACCTGAATGTTGTTCATTTGCTTCATTGACACTGATAGAGATCCTTTGAACTCATTAAGTTTTTTGATGTGTGAAACTTAACTTATTTATATTTTTAAAAATATTTTCTTCTTTTGACTGTGTAATAGCCTCTTTTGGAACCATGTGTTTTATCAGAACATGATTACTATTCTGATGAAAAAGTATTTTAAACAGTTAAATTTTTGAGCATTATTGTATTCAACATTTTTTTTTTGGTCTTTTTAAAATAAGGCCTCATTCTGCAGTTCAGGCTGGCCTTGAACTCACTTTATAGCCCAGGCTGCCCTTGAACTTGCAGTGATCCTCCCACTTAGCCTCCTGAGTGCTGCCACCATGCTATAGGGAGTGGCACAACCGCCCCATTGCTGCCTCCCTGCCTCCCTCTCCTATGGGCATGTGATGCACCTGCCTACATTAACCATAATCCTCTCCTGCTTATGTCACATACCTGAACATGACGATGACCTATCAGAAACCACCCTGTAGTCTCTTCCTGTCCCACCAGCCTGCCCTTGGCCTATAAAAGATGTGATCACTTCCTGAATAAATGAGGCTTGATCATATTCTCTTGACTTGCTTCAATCTCTCTTTGTCTCCCCACTGTTGTATTCATCCTGTTCCCCCTCCAGGTACACCCCATGGATTGATCCATGGGCCGGATCACCATGCTTGGCTTTATTCAACATTTTAAGACAATAAACAAATTATAGTTTTTCTTCAGGTAAGTTGCCTTACATTCTACTAGTAAAATTTGCTTCGGTTTGTAGTAAGCTTATACTTGCATAGTATCAAAAGATTATTCTGGGTAGTCATGTGGAAGATGGCAGATCAATAAGTAACAAGGTACAGAACCTCTCTGAGAGAAACAGCTTAGACACTAGCATTTACCATCATGGAGCAGACCAAATGAAAAGAGAGGGATTCTCTTTACCCAGGAAGAAACTAAGGAAAAAGAAAAAGAGAAAAAAAGCAAGAAAAGAAAAATGCAGACAGAAAGCTGGAGCCAGAGGTGCTCTCACCAGAGCAGGCCCAACTTGTTGGCATGGCGCTCTCACTGGAGCTGGTTGGACTCACATCATGGCACTCTGAGCCACAGTCATGCTGAATTCAGGGGTTAGCGAGCCCAACAGAGAAGAGAGCCGGCATGGAGACCTGCACTAACCTGTGGTGAGTACTTGGAATTTGTCCTTCTTGGGTGAGGGGGATGATCACTGGATGACATATTGGTATTGGGCAGGATGGTCCTGAATAAGGAACGAGCAGTGACTTCAGTTGGCTGCTCCCAGAACAGATTGGTGGGATCTGCTTGGGCTGAGTCATGCAACTTGGCTGGGACCCAATAGCCAGGGATGAACTTGTCCCCAGAGTTGTTCCAAACTGGTTCCATCTGCACAGCACAGACTAACATTGTGAAAGCCTCCACTTGTTGACTGGCTCAGAGGGGAGGGGCCAGCCTACCCTGCCCCTACTTGCACCTCAGTGACCAACAGCAAAATGGAGAGAGCAGCAATCCCTAGCTAGCATGCTTCAGAAGAACCATAACCAATAGGAAAGGGGCTGGGACCTCCACCATACACTTGTATGGAAGAAACCAAAAACATGACAAGAGAAAGAAATAAGAAAAAGCCTCCAGTCAACCTAGGGAATACGGGGCCAGGAGAGGTAACTACCGAAGAGATCAAGGGCAGCAAACATGCAATATGGAACACAGCATCAGCTGACATAAATATCTTTGTAACATTATAGACAAAACAAATATTAATACAAATGAAGCAAGCTATAAGCAGATTAATAAAAGAAATGCTAAGCACCTCAAGAAGACACAGATGGAAGAATGGAGGAACATAAAAAAAGGAGAGAAATCTTCAATGAATATTTAAAAAAACCTAGAATACATGAAACAGATTCAAATAGATTACCAGGAAATTAAAAATTCCATTGAAAGCTGGAAAAATTGCTTGAAAGAAACTAGAGATAGATTAACAGAACTTGAAGTTTGCAATGTATGATCGCAAAAGGAAAGATCTCTTAAAAATAACAAGGAAACAGGCAGTAACAATACAAAGGCTAGAAAATGACAAGAGATCTATAACTTAAGAATGAAAAATGTGAGTGAAGAAGCAGGGGTAAAAACAAAGGATACAAAGGCTATTCACAGAAATAAGGAAAACTTTCCAAGCATAGGAAAAGGAAATGATATTCAGATGTATGAGGCATACAGAACTCCAGCCAGCTACAACCAAAACAGATCTACACCCAGATGTATAATAATCAAGATCCCAGAAATTCATCACAAGAACAGAATATTAAAAGCCATCAGGGAAAAGAAACAGATCACCTATAAAGGAAAACTCATTAAAATCATTACAGACTTCTTGACACAAACCAAATCAAGAATAGCTTAGAGTGAAGTATTACAAGCCCTGAAAGAAAATAACCTCCAACCCATATTGATGTATCCTGAAAAACTGTCTCTCAAAATTAATGGAGAAACAAGATGCTTCCATGACATAGAGGAGCTAGGGGAATTCATAACCACCAATCCAACCCTGCAAAAAGTACTGAAGGACATTCTAGAGAGGGAGAAAAAAAAAGACACCAGGATTTCAGAAACAGTGGTGGAGAGGCCTTAATGAATGGGGCAGACAGTGAAATGAAGGAGAAAATAGACAATCAATGGCAGAAAAATAGCATAGCAGAAATGAGGCAGAGAAGGTTTGCTATATAATCTCTAACACAGATGGCCTTGATACCCTAACAAAAAGAAACATAGGCAGGGTAGATCAGGAGATAAGGTCTATTGAGATGTTCTGTATAGGAAATATAATTAACCTAAAAAAGGGTTTATGAACCAAAAGTCAAACATGAGAAAACAGGGGGCTGGGGATTTAGCTCAGCGGCATAAGTGCCTGCCTTGCAAGCAGGCAGTCGTGAGTTCGATCCCTGGTACCAATAAAAAGGAAAAAAGATAAAACAAAACAAAACAAAAACCCATGAGAAAACAATGCTGTCTGTGACAGGGAACCAGACAGAAGTTGCTGGCAACTTGTCCAGCACCTGCAGATAGATTGGAAAGATAGGATACTTTTGTGCAGTGGAGAAGTACTCAGCTATAATGAAGGACAACCTTGAGGCTTTTGTAGGTAAAGGAATACAATTTAAGATCAAGCCCAGGGGCAACAAAGTTCAGAACCACTTAGGTAAATAGTGGGTTGTACCCCTAACCTAAAAACTAAAGGAGTTAGTGTGGCCCCAAAATATACAATGCACCCTGTAAAAGTAAAAAGGGAGGAATTGTCTAAAAAAAAAAAAGGAAGGCAGAGGACATGGTTAATAGTGTACCATGATTTAAAAATCTACACTATTCTTATCACTCTGTTTAGTTTGGTTATATTCTGTTCCAGTCTGTCTACTTGTAACAGACTTGAGGGCACAGACAGGTATTCCAAAAATAGTAGGATATACTACAGTAACCATCCTTTATTTCCTATTAACTTAATCTGAACCCCTGTATTACTTACCCTGTCTTACTTTGACTGATATTATTTGGATCGGGTTTGTTAGATCACTGTTTTGTACTGACTTATTTTATTCAAATCTGTTATGATTGATGGTATGAAGTCTGAGAGTATAGGCAAATACTCCAAAGATGATGAGATTCACTAGGATACCCACTCTTGATGGACTATTACTTGCTTTTGAAGTCTTATAATGTCTCCAACGTTTTGTTGTTATTAATAGTTATATACTGCTATGCTCAATTTTACTATGCCTGATGATATAGACAATTCTATTGAAGATAACAAGAGGCATCATAGTAACCACTGTAGATCACCTTGTATTGTGGTTTTATGTGACTTTTTCATTTTGTGTTTTTCTAGGGATTTGTTTTGTTTTTCTCTCATACAGAAAGGATAGATATACATGTAAAGACTGATGCATACACAGAACTTCTAAATAGTTTATGAGAACTGATTATATAATGCATGATGAAATGAACAACTGCTTTGAAGAAAAAGAGACACTAAGGTACCCAGTGCTGATTCCGTAGTGTCATGATGTGAAATCCAGCAGTACTATTATTCATCTTTCATAGTGATTTTAGTCTGTTTTGTTTTATTTAATTTCAACATATGTGAAGGTATGGACAGCTACTTTGAAAAGAATGAGAGACACTATGACAGCCATTGGTGACTTCCTTATTGTCTGATCTTGAAGACCTAAAATGCCTTCATCATTCTGTTTGGATCAGTTTTATACTATGTTGTTTTGTATGAATTTATGGTATGTGAAGATATGGATGACTATTTGGATTGCAAAAGGGCAGAAGTCAGCTTCTTGTAGATAATTCAAAGGTCTGATTTATCCTGGGGCAGCGTCATGCCCCATTCTGGGCCAGCTGGGCAGAGGTAACTTTTACCCAGGGTGTGAGTGGAGCTGTTCTTTGCACACTCCCAGGCACCTGCCCTACATTTCTTTTCTAGAGAGAAGGCCCCATATACAACCTGCCTGGACCTGATCCCTCCCTTTCATTTTTAAAGACAGACCTCTATATTTATTAATATATATATATTATTAATAATTAATTACTAATATATATATATGCTCTATGATTTGTATAAATATACTTTGTTTTTACAGGGAAGGATACACTGGTTTCTGGGTTGTTGAAGGGTTTGGGGGATCTGAAGGAGTTCTGTGAGGGAAGTTGTTGAAACAAATGCAGCTTGTCAATCAGGCAAGCAAGACACAAGCCTAGAATACTACCTACAAGGCCAGTGAGACAGAAGGATGAATTCTGAGGCCTGATTGGGTAATTTGTTGAGGACTTGCCCTCAAAATAATAAATAAGTAGGGCTGGGGATGTAACTCAGTATTAAAGTGCTCCTGGATTTGATTCCCAAGTTTGGAAAAACATAAAAACAAGAAGCAAAAAATGAAAACCAAAAAACCCATTGTATATATGAAATACCTTTCATGTGAAACTGTAGTTTTTCCTTCTTTCCACTTTTTGCATTTTTTGATTAACATATTTATACCATATGATGTTTACATTCCTTGTGTAGAGTTGGCACTGTTCATCATACATCTTAGTTCATTTTTCTCATCCCCTTTCACTTCCCTCCCTCCTGTCTCCATCTGTCTCTTGATCCTGTTCCTTTTTGAGGGGTACACATTTACAATATGTAATATTTATGTTCTTTGTGTGGAGTTGGTACATGTACATAACACACCTTAATTCCTTTTTTCATCCCATTTCATACCCTCCCTTCTTACCTCCCTTCAGTTCTTCATCTTTTTCCCCTTCAAGAAAGATCTATATTTTCATTTCCTATTATCTTTTATTTTGTTGTTTATTTATGTTTTTGGTTTATCGTATAAGAGAAACCATGTGATATTTGAGACTCTGTGTCTGATTTATTTAATTTAATAAGACTAAAGTTTATCTTCATTGCAGAATAGTACTCCATTGTTTATAAATATTGCATTTGCCGGTTTACCCATCAGTCTATTGATGGACATATAGGTTGCTTGAAAGATTTAGCTATTGTGAACTGTGGCTCTAGGTATGCATGTATTGCTGTAATATGATGTCCTTAACATGTTTGGGAAAATAACTAGAAGGGAAATAGCTGGACTGGATGGAACTTCTAGTTTCTTCAGAAGTCTCCTTACTGCTTTTCTTGTTTTTTTTTTAATTTTTTTTGGTCTTTTTCCTTTTTATCAGTACCAGGGATCAAACTCACAACTGCCTACTTACAAGGCAGGCGCTTATGCCGCTAAGCTAAACCTCCAGCCCTTCCCTACTGCTTTTCAAAGTGGCTTTTCTATTATACCTTCCCACCAACAGTGTAGAAACGTTCCCTTTCTGAGGCAGCCTTTCCAGCTTTTGATACTATTTGATTTCTTAAAGATGACTATTCTTTTTAGGGTAAGATGGAATCTCAGTGTTGTTTCAAATTGTGTTTCCCCAGTAGCCAGCAGTATTAATGTTTCTTCATGTACTTATTGGCCATTTGTACTTGTTCTGAAATGTGTCTTTTCATTTCACTTGCACATTTTTTTGGAGGGGGACTTGGTTCTTTTATGTGGAAGAATCTATTTTTTGTACTGTATATAATATATTCTAGCTATAAGTCTTCTGAGATATAGCTTGGAATATTTCT